CCTTGCAAATCTTGTTAAAGGACGTGTTCATTTACTGGAAGTCTCCAGCATGTGGATCTGAGCAGTTCTCATACTGTCTGCAGGCAATCTGCCCCCCTGGCTGCTCTATTAATTTCTCTTAGCAAGCTCCTTGATTTCTATGCAGTTCTCTTGATGAAGTTAAGCACAACTCAAGTGGTTTTTCCACTCGACAGAGCAGGTCTTCAACAACCCTCTTTTAAATTGCCAGGGATAAAGTCCTGAATCCAGCACCCCTGCAGGTTTCCCCATCAACCTCCCCAAGAAACTCAATTAACAGGAGCTGAAAATCATGATTCTTTGCATCACCAGCACATTTTCCTGATTTCCCACGTCTCAGTGTCCCCCTTTTCTGTCTGCTGCTCCCTTCCATCCATGTGACCATGGCAGCTGCTGTTTGTCTCTTGACACATTCCCCCTGTAATGCTCTGGTACCTGTGGGTATAGCCAAGCCTTTTGTCCCTCAATTTCATGGCCCCTGGCCCCCTACTCTCATGCCAAACTGGGCATGCCCTTGCCACCTTTGTGTTTCCTCACTTCTTTAGGTGTTGTGACATGATGTGCTGCTGGGACAATGCTGGCTCTCAGTCCCCTGGGTTCCATTTGACAACCCTTGTCCCTGCTCTGGGCTGACTTTGTCATGCTCAGCTCTGTCTCAGTTCTATGGGACAGGTACCAGTGGCAGGATGTTTCCCAGGAACAGGGCCCTGGAGAGTCGCCCCATGGCACTGGAGCTGGGCTTTCTCCATCTGTAGCTGTATCTCTCACTTGTGAGTGCCTGGATCCCACCTTGTCCTTACCCAGCATGCAGCAGACTGGGGCTGAAGCTTTGAGGGGTCCCTGATCCCATCCCCTGAAGGCTGGAGATGGCAGCAGGGAGGATGAGACCTGGAGCTGGGGCATGGGGGAGAAAAGGGGTGAGCAAGCAGGCTGTGCATGGGTCCCCCAGGGAAAACAGGGTCCTTTTGCATGCACAGAGCTGCTCCCTCAGGCTGCCCACGGCACAGGCACTGCCTGCAGGGCTGAGAGGCAGGCAGGTCCAGTGCCTGTGAGCTGCACAGTGGTAAGAGCTGTGGGTGATGGATGCGTCTGTGTGGGGAGGGCAGTCAAGCCTTGCTACTCTGATGAGAAAATCATCGAGTGGCTGCAGGGTGCTTCAGGCAAGCTGCAAAAATAAGAGAGCAGCCAGGGCATTCTCTGAGCCTTTCATTATCCCCAGAGCAGCACAGTGACAGCCACGTCCGGCCAGGGAGCAAGGTCTGTATCCACCATGGGATTTACACTGACTGGGGTGGAAAGGCTTTGCCTCCGTGGGGTCTGGCAGTACAGTAAGCAGGAGGGCTGAGGACTCACAAGGCAGCTGTAGGGGATCTGTGCCTCTAGACCTGGGGTTTCATGAAGATACGGAGAGAAAATACTGAGGCGAGCACAACAAGGTTACACATCCCTCCCTACACACCTGCCTGGGGACTCGTCAATCTCCAGGTGACCAATCTGGTGACACCAGCAGCCACCCTTCTTCCCATACCTCCCAGACACGGTGATCAGCAAGGGGCACAGCACCCTTGTACACCCAGAGACACCCCAAAAACCTTGGACCTCTCACCAGCCCCCACTCGCTGCTTCCTGGTCGGCGCACATGGGCAGGGAGAGGAGGAGGGATGCCGAGTCCTGCCTGCGTGCACGCAGTCTGCTGCAGGGCTCAGTAATTCAGGCCTGACACATTAAAGTTGCATGGCATGCAATTGCCATCTGCAACGACAGACTGCGTCAGGGCTGCTGGTTGATGAGTTCAGACAGCAGTCATTGAGCGGGCAGCGGTGGGAGGGTCCAGCAGCCCCCGAGGAGAGCAGAGTGAGGGCAACAGGCGGAGCACCTCTTTAGTGAGGATCGAGGTGGGAGGAGGTTGTGGCAGGAAGCACAGTACCAGTGTTTGGGAAGCATATTTCCAAGAATTTCCAAGAAACTTGTATTGGAGCAGGGAGCACTGGCACTGACAGCCCAGCAGGCAGGATGGAGCTGGTATGCAGCAATCAGGATGATAGTGTTCCTGGGGCTGCCACCTTCTTATGCATCCCCTGTGTCCATTGCATCCTACCTGTCAGGACAGAGGCTGTAGAGACTTATGCTGCCACACACAAAAGTCAAAAACTCTACTCAGGTGTATCTGTCCCCAGGTCCCTGCCACTGCCTGACCTGATATGGCTCGAATCCCCCCATCCCTCTCCAGCACTAAGGAAGCAAAGCTCTTCATCGGCTGTTCCGGGAGTTGGTTGCCATGGGGATGTCAGATGTACCTGGCTGTTATAGGGATACTGTTGCCATGGTTATGTGGTTGCTGTGCCTGGCAGAGGCAGGGATGGAACATTGGGAAAGCTGTTTACACTGGGAGGGTGGGAGTCACAGAGACCCCAACTCTCTGAGCAGGAGGGGAAGGTGGGAGAGTCCAGCCTTCACCCTAAGTGCATCCTCATGGGGCAGGGGCTGGAGGCTATGGGGAACCGTGACAGAAAAGCTCACTAGACCCATAGGGATAGACACACTGCTGCTCCTGACCTTGCAACATTGGAGAGGTGACTGAGGAGAACTGGAGTTTCCCATGGTGTGTCCCAGCATGCTCCCAGACAGGCTTGGTGGGAGAGACACACACACCCCCTGGTCTGGTTGTCCCACAGGAGAGACCTGCTTCTCCATGCTTGGTGCCTAGAGCAGTGAGCAAAAAACCTTTCTGTCCTGCAGTACTGTGTTCTGCACTTGCAATGCACTGAGCTGTGCCCCACACTGTGCCAGCCTCCTGGGCAGGGGAATGGGTTTCTGCCCACCCTGGGACTGGGAGATGAAGTGAAAATGGGGATTCCCAGCTCTCAGCAGGCAGCCTATGGGCCCCCAGGGACAAGCTGGGTTGGCAGAGAATGCCTGGATCCTCTCCAGTGCTGCTTGGCCGAGCTTCCTCCTGGGCAGTGTGGTCAGATGCATGGCCTGTCCTTGAGATGAAAAATGCAGTTGCAGGTTTAATTAAAAGGAGAGGGAGCTCCGAGCAGCACCAGCAGCCCAGAAAAGCAGAGTCTAGCAGAGCTGCTGTGTGGCTCTGCCTGGGTTCCCTGGGCAGCTCTCCTGGCTAAAACCCTTGCTCACCTCTTCCAGGACCCCACAAGGGTCCAATCCCATATGTGCCACCCCTGTGATGTCTGCTGTGGGGAAGGTCAGGGGCTGTGCAGCTGCTTGCACAGGGATAGCTCATCACACCACTGGCTCTGTTATTGTAGAGTCTTTACAAATTTGTCAAGCAGCAGATTCACACTTCAGCCCTACAGCAGGGGATGAGGGATGGGTAATGCTGCTGCACACAGCCCTGACACCTCCATGAACCTGGGGTGCATTGGTGTAGGGCAAGTTTATGTCCAGTGTGTGTTTCACTCCACCCTCTTGCTGATGTGAAAGCTAAAGCTGAGATACTCACCCTCTGGGGGCTGCTACTGCCAGTGGGGTACAATTTGACTTAATTAAAAAAATTCTTAATCTGTCACCTGGCCAGACAGAACATTCTGTATAGGAGAGAGAGGGCTGGAGAGTGAACTCGGGGGGAAGGAAAGTGGCAGATGCAGGTTCACCAGTCCTTGTACAATGACTGGGGCTCCTGCCCAGGCTGCCCAGCACACTTCCACTCCAGGCTGGCTCCCCATGGGCATAGCCCACACCAAGGCCCAGAGACAGAGGCAGCAAACCCCTGAACTCACCAGCACTGCCATGGTCCTCAGTAGCTCATCCCTCCTCCTGTTCTGCCAATCCCATCCCCAGTCATCTCCAGCTGCCCCCACAAACCCCCAAGCCCACCCTGCTCTGGCCAGCTGGGGCCCAGCTCCCAAGAAGCAGTTTTAATTAGATTGCAATCCTATTACATAGCTGCCTGCCTGCCGGCAGTTGCTAATCCTGTTAAGCATCCGGTAAATCTCCCTGTGCCGGGTTCTGTCCACAGGGGTATGGGGAGGGGGGCTGCTGGCGGGTGGGCTCTGCTCAGCTAGGATGTGGCTCCTAGGATGCAGAGCTTTGCCTCAGGATTCCACCATGAAGACCTCTGCAGGGCTCGGAAATTCTCAGGAGATTGGGGAAGTCCCCAGAGGGGTGAGAAATATCAGTGAAATTTTCCCTGCTGAAGTAGAGTGAACCCCCCCCAGTCCTTGAGGTACACACACAGCCCAAGTGTCTGTAACCACACCATGGTCACCACTGGCTGCAGTGGGTGCTGAGCCCACAGGTCTGACCATAAGCCAGACAAGGAGCAGGGGCTGAGAAAAGGTTGTCCCAACTGGGTCACAGGGTCCAGTCCATGCAATGCCCCTCCCACTGGAGCCAAGCGTCCTGCAGAGACAGGGCTGGTGGCAACAGCAGGGACACAAGGTCACTAGTCTACCGCTCCTTGGGTGTAGCAACATGTGGGGTGGTGAGGCAGGCTGCCCCAGGTAGTGGGGTGACACAGGCTGTGGGGTCCTGGGGATGTGGCCTTTGAAGGCAGAGGCCTCTCAGACCTGTGCATTGCCATGGCAGGCAGCAGCAGCCACCAACGGCACCCACAGCTATAGGCTCACCACAGTCCTGCAGGCTTGGAGGGGATCCTGGATGTCCTGGTTCAGCACAGCTGCTCCCAGGTCAGACAGGACAGGCATCCTGTGAGAGCACAGTGCCCCAGCAAAGACATCCTAGCCTTGCAACCTGTCATAATAGGAGCCAAAACACTGCAGCCTCTGCTCCCCACCTCCTGCCAGCCACTTTGCTCTGTTGGAGCTGCAGCTGCTCCAGAGCAGCCACCAGAGAGTAGCAGCTCTGACTGAGAACCAGAGACTGTTGCCATTCCTCCCCTCCACACTGAACCATATCCCCTCAGCAACTCCCAACTCCATCACCTGGCAAAGAGAGGAATGTGACCCAGCTCAGCCTTGAGACCCCATAGCTCTGCCCCAGACTGAGTCACAGCAACCCCTGAAGACAAGTTCCATCAGGCTGTAATTGGAAGAACAGGTTGGCACAGGTGGCTGTGTGCCTGTCCAGAGGAGTCCTGGCACCCCCAGAGATGGGTGGCCAGCAAAGAGAGTGGGTGCCAGCCCCACAGGGCTGCTGTCCATGACAGAGGAGTCTGAGCTGGCTTCAGCATCAGCTGGTACAAATGCTGTTGATGGAGGCCACAGCGGGGTCGACAAGCCCCAGCTCCTCCTGCTCATTGATGCAGAGCTGGTACCCACATCCCTTGCGCCGGGGCAGGGGCCCCAGGCGCCTGCTGGGCTTGGCACGGGGCGGCAGCAGGAAGCCAACGCTGCCGGCAATGAGCAGGTGCCAGATGCTGTGGATGTAGAAGTAATTCTCCTCTGTCTCCACGAAGGCGTAGAGCAGCACGGCCGCCGCTGCGATCAGCGCTCCTGGGCACAGGTAGAAAGCCCAGCGCTTCCAGGTTGGTGGGTAGCAGTGGCGGCGACGGATGGTGCGAGCCGTCTGTGGTGGGGAAAGGACAGGCTGGAATGGGGGACCCACAGCAGGGACAGGCACGACCTCTGTGCCATGGTGACACACCCCTCAGGAGTCAGGGAGAGGCAGTTATGGGGAAGGGTGAAGGCAGCAGAGGGGAGATGCTGGCAAGGGCAAAATGCTGAGCACAGCAGGATGGGTACCACCCATAAAGGAGGTGCCCCATAAGGGGCACCATCTTACCCAGGCGACGGCCATTATCCCCAAAGCAAAAAGGCTGGGCCCCAGAAGGTTCCAGAGCCCATGACGGTCCATCTGCAGAGCCATGGAGAGCAGCATGGCCCCTAGCAGGTACAGCACCTGTGGGGCAGTGGGGCACCCATCAGAATAAATCTCTTCCATGCCTGCCCTGTATTCTCCCTCCCCACACTTGCCTGCTTGACTATGGGCTGGAGACGGGCCATGGCGATGACAGTGACCCAGACAGACATGAGAGAGCCCAAGAAGTCACAAAACTGCAGCACATCATACTCCATGATGCAGAACACCACAATGCCTGGCTGGTCACAGGCATGGTAAAACTGGGGTAGCAGGGAAAGGGTGTGAGAGCTGCCCTGCACAGCCCCAGCCCCTCACCTGCCCTTCAGCTGCCCCATGCCACACTCACAGTGGAGAAGAACATGGTGAAGATGTAGACAGCAGCTTCTAGGAGGTAGTGGCTGCGGACAGCAATGGCCACGGGAGGCACAAACATGACATTGCTGAGGCACAACAGCAGCGTGGAGAGGAGCTGGAAGCCATAGGAGAAAGCCTCAGCGTTGTCCGTGCAGCCCCAGCCGTTCCAGCCTATGACCAGGGAGAGATGCTGTCACCAGGGCAGGGTCTGGTGGGGAGTGAGCAGGGAACCCCCTTTCCAGGACCCTGCAGAGACCTGGCAGGAATGGATTACTGGGATACAAGTATTATCCAAGGGGAAGGGGAAGCATGCTGGGGGTCTGTGGGTGCCTGGGTCAGGTCTCACCAGCTTTGCACTCGCAGGCAGCGTACAGGTAGTTGTTGGTGCGCAGCAGCTTGCACTGGCCATAGATGCCGCAGTCGTTGATGCAGGGTGAGAGGTAGGCGCGCAGGTACACCTCAGCTGTCACGTTGGTGCAGGGCTCAAACCTGCGGGGTGGGAGAAGGGGGTCAGCCCTCACTCTGTGCCCTTGAAGAGCTCTTGCCTCTATCAGAGACATGTGTCACCCAGACTTGGCAGGTGATGGGAGACCCAGGGACTGGCAAGGCTGAAAATGAGATTCTTTGGTGCTGCACATGGTAGCTGAGAGCTGGTCCCCAAGGATTCTGTGTGCTTCTATTGTTTGTGCCAGCCTGAGTGAGCAGGAGGAACGTGGCCATGCTTAAAGCCCCTCTGCCTTTAGCAGCACACTCATCTGGTTCCTATTTCATTTGGGCTTTGCTGTGCAAACACTGCACCCTGCCCTGCAATGCCCATGTGTGAACCCATCAGGGAAGGACTGACTGTTGACTGGCAACTCAGCATGAAGTAGAAACTCAGAAGAGGAGTCAGAGCAGGCACACCAACCCCACCGTCCTGGGCTGCCCCAGCACAAGACTGCCAGCACCTCCTCATCTCCAGCACACCAGGAGCACAGGCAGCCCACAGGCTGACAGCATGTACCAGCTGCTGGATGGGCACACAGTGTCAGCTGCACGTGTGTCCACTGACTGTGTCCTCACACAGTCAAAGCTGCACATGCATGTGTGCAGAACATACACAGCCCTGAGTGCTTCAGCAAAGCCCTGACTGCTTGTGCAAACCAGAATATGCACACAGAGCTGGCTGCACCCAAATATACATGCAGTGCTACATGCACGTGTTCATCAAATGTGCATGCAGCACCATCCACACTCATGCATCCTTGCACATATAGACACACACATGCACACCAGTCTCACTCTTCCACAAGGCTCCAGGCAGACACAGAGACCAGAAGCAGAGCCGCAGCACAGCACCAGTCCCTGGAAATGCTGAGCAGAGCCTCAGCCTGACCAGAGATGCCCCCTCACTCGCAGAGCAGAGCCCTGTTCTCCCAGCAAAAGCCCGGTCCCCACCCAGGCATGGGTACAGATGGGCCCTGCCGTGGAGGCGGAGAGGCACTGACAGATGCCCAGTGTTTGCGAGCTGACAGGCACTTCCTAACCGCGAGACAGAGGGAAGAGCTGCGGGGACCCACAGATGGTCAGGCAGACGTGAGCTGGAGCCATCCGTGCCCACGCAGCACTCACACGGTCCGCAAAGCCACGTGCACACATATGAGCGGAGACACGCAGCGCAGGGCACGGGCACACCCACAGACCCACGGTACACACAGGCACAGGTCAGGGTGAGGACATCCCCCCTTCGGACACAGGGAGGGGATATGCTGGGAGTCTTACCCGTGTTCTGTGGCACAGAGTGAGCGCAGACTCAGGTACCAGCTGCCTGTCTGTGGGTAGGGGATCCGCAGGCGGCTGAGGCTGGCTGTGGCATTAACGGAGAGCAGGAAGCCTGCCAGAGACTCTGTGGGCCAGAAGAGATCTGGGTGAGCAGAGCAAGGTGCAGCCCCCTGCCCTTGACAGAGCTGGAACAGGGACAGAGTACCCTGTGCAGGCTCCAGGGTCACATGCCCCCATGGTCTCTGCAGCCTCCCCCCACCCAGCCTCTTGCCAGACACAAGGGTTGTGACCCCATGGACATGGCAGGATGGACATGCACAGCCCAGCCTACCTGTCTCACAGATGACCGAGGTGTTGTCACTGGATGTCAGTGGGACTCCATGGTTTAGACACCCAAACACTGTCACATTCTCACCACACAGGGAGCTCTGACAGCAGAGGAGATGGCCTTAAACCAGTGCCAGGGATGTCCCCTACTCTGACAGCACTTGGATCACAGCACACCAATTAGCAGTGCCCTAACCCACTGCCCACCCAAGAACATCCCAAACCTGGGCCTTGGAGCACCCTAATCCATTCTCCATCATCCAAAAATTTCACAACCCCTGCCTGTGACCCCAAATCCTGTTCCCTGCCCTGCTGCAACCTTGACATCACCCATCTCCCTTCCTGCCCCCGGCCCAAGCTACCCTGCCCCATTCAGGGTGTATGTGGCCACCTCACCACGTTGAGACGCAGCTCCAGGTTGAGCACCCCGCCACTGTCCAGCACTGGCAGGAGGTTGATGACGAAGACAGCCGGGCGGTCTGGCGGCACTGACACGTTGGGCCCGAAGAAGATGTAGAAGTGGACAGAGAAGGTGTCCAGCTCGTTCCGCAGTGTGGGCCGGACAGGCCAGCACTGCTCTCCGGTGTGTAATGTGACAGGGATGGGGACTGGGTGCTTCGTGTCGTTGGGGCTGGTGGGTGGAGGGCTGTCCCCCAGTGCCAGCCCACCCGCGGAGCCAAAGGAGTGGGGCATGTTCATGGAGGCGCTGGAGGGCAGGAAGGGTGGCCGGGCCAGGCTGGGTCGGGAACAGTCTGGAGGGACAGAGCCATCAGCCTGGGCACCACACAGCTCCAGACCACTTTTGGTTCCCACCGTCCCTTCTTGCCCACCACGCATCTCCATTTATGACCCAGCCCCAACATCTAACAGCATTCCCATCCCAGCAGAGCTGGCTTTAACCCCGTGCCCAGCTGCAGACAGATCCTGTGGGCATCTTTTAGCCCCTACACCAAAGCAGAGTCAAGGCCATGTCTCCACCCACACCTCCACATGCACCCTCACCTGTGAGCTGTACAGTGACCTGGAAGGAGATGGTGCCCGGCACCCCAGGGTGTTTCTCCACCAGCACGTAGTACCAGTGCTGCCAGAAGGGCAGGTCCTGTGCCAGCTGGCAGGGAGTGTGTTCCTGGCAGTCCAGGGTTGTGGAGTTGTGCAGGGGGGGAGCCTTGGCCCGCACACGCAGCCAGAGTGGACAGCCCTCGGCCCCACGGCACCGCAGCACCTCCACGAGTACTTGCGATGTGTAGCTGGGCACAAAGACCCTGTGGGACAGCAGTGCCAGGTTGTGCCCATCACTGTGGACTAAGAGGGCTGGGGAGGGAAGCCATAGGGATGGGATACCCTCATCTCCCCACCCTGAGAATGGCCCCTCCTTAGGTGACCTTCTCATACTCACTTGTAGAGGCAGGAGCGGTTGTGAGGGGCCATGCTCTGCTCGGTGACATGACCGGGGTACAGCACAGCGATGTTCACCAGGCGCTGCACGATGAGCTGTGGCTGGAAGAGATACTGGCACTCCTCGTAGAGTCCCTGCAGCAGAGGAGAGTCATCACAGGGCAAGGGGCATAGGGCACTGCCCCCACTTGGGATACCTGCCCTGGGCACTGCCAGCCCAGAGCAATTAGACCCCAGCCCTGCCCCGCCATGGTCCCTCCAGGCCCTTCACCTTAACGGAGATCTTGCCCTCATCTTTGGGCAGGTGGGCAGCCAGGAACCAGTCCCCGGGCAGTGGGCTGGTGACATTGAACACGCCTGTGGTGCGGTTGGGCAGGGTCCAGGTGAGGGTCAGTGCGAAGGAGCCAGGGACGGCCGTGTCCCTGGGGAAGTGCGTGTGCAGCGGGTTAATGACAGAGGGAGCCCCTGAGCGGAAATACCTGTGGGAGAGACAGCAGTCAGCAGGGTGTAGGCTGGGCATCGTGGCAGGGCCAGTATGTCCTACATGTGGGTGTCTTCCTCTATGCTTAAAGACATCATGGAAGCTGGGACCTTTCTGGAGACTGAGATTTCCTGAGTGGGTGTTCAAGCAAAACAGTTCATCTATGAGACGCACAGAAGAGTGGAACCTGCATTGGTCCTGGGAAGATGAGTCATGGGGAGAGAGCGTACATGTTGTCTGGGCTTTTGTTTGGATAGGGTTCGTTTTCTTCTTAGTGCCTGTTACAGTGCTGTGTTTTTGATTTAGTATAAGACTAATGTTGATAGCACACTGATGTTTCAGTTGTTGCTCAACAGCGCTTACCCTAAGTACTTTTCAGTGTCCCATGCTCTGCCAGAGAGCAGGTGCGCAAGATGTTAGAAGGGAATGTGACCTGGAGAGCTGACCCAAACTTACTGAAGTGATATTTCATACCATACAGAACATATTCTGTCCCATACAGAGGCTCTTGCCCAGTGTATAAACTTGAGAGAGTTGGCATGGAGCCACCAGCCACTTCTGGGGGACAGGTTGGGCATCAGTCAGCATGTGGTGAGCAACTGCGTGATGAATCATTCGTCTTTTTCAGTTTTATTTCTCTCTCTCCTTTTTGTTACTGTTGTTATTATTTTTGTAGCTGTTTTATAATTAGTGTTATTGGCATATTTATTTTGATTAGTTAACTGTTTTTATCTCAACCCACAAGTTTTACTTTTTTTCCATGATTCTCCTCCCCAGCGGGGGAGCAGGGGGGGTTGAGCGAGCAGCTGCATGGTACTCAGTTGGCAACCTGCTCTAGTGGAACATGTTCCATGGTAGTAGATTGGAACAAGATGATCTTTCATCTCCTTTCCAACCCAAAGCATTCTGTGGTTCTATGATTCTTTGACTCCATAGGTACACATGCTTGTGCAAGCTAAGAAGCAGGCAAGAGCAGGCAAGCTGTGGGGCAAATCCAGGCAGGAGGAGCAGAGACAGGCAGGAAGGATACAGGCAGGCTAGGCTGCTTACTCACACGGTGATGCTGCGGTCTGGGCATTGATCCCCAAAGGTGCCACCTTGCTCCTTGAAAGTGATGAGGTTCCAGACGGCAATGACAGTGTCCTCAGGAATGTGGAAATGGAAGAGCTCGATGCTGGCAAAGGAGCGGAAGGGGCTGAGCTTGCGTGGTGTGCGGGTGAAGTAGTCTGTCACAAAGAGCCCATCTGCAAAGGAGACCCAAGGGGCTCTCAGTAGGGCAAAGGATTGGGGAGGGGGTTGTGGAGCACCTCCCCCCCAGAGCTGGCCCACCAGCCAGGCTCTGAATATGTCACATCAGCAGCCTGGAGGCAGGAGGGGCTGGGACAGTGCCATTTCAGTGAATCCCCAGGGCTGACGTCAGCTGTCCCCAGCTGTGTCTCCCAGCCCTGGCACAGTCTGCATCATTTCTGGTTCAGCACTGCCTCAAGTCCAGTTCACTGAGCTGTGGGTGCTGATGGCCAGTAGCCTGAGGAGCCCATGGCCCTAGCTGCTCATGCTCTGCTCCCTGTATTTTACCTGTAATAGTAAGGGACATTCTTCATGGCTTAAGCTATGCCCTAGCAGATCAGCTCCCACAGGAACACACATTCCCCTTCACCTGCCTGCTGGGGAGGCTCAGCACCGAGCCCATCATAAAGTGCAGAGTTTCATTCTCGAGCCACAAGAAAAAGGAGCAAGGAGAGGACTTCCTGAACCGCCTCCCAGCTCTCCCATGGTTTGTGGAGAAGGAACGGTGCACATATGTGTGCACATATGCACACGTGGGTGCTGTCTGCATGCACGGCAGAGTGGAGGCGTGCAAACCCACATCCATGGGAGTGTGTGCCTGTGTACAGTCCCATGTCTGAAAGATGCTTCCTGCAAGTCCACGGCACACGTGGGGGCCACCTCCCCCTGACCAGCTGCCTGACAGGTCGATTTTCAGGGATTTCCAGGAGCTCCAGCAGCAGTGAGACAGCCACTTCTTTGTCACAAGGGAGAACAGGACTCGAGACAGTAGCCATAACTTCACCTATGATTACCACACTACACCCGTGCCATCCTGGGAGACCCATCCATTTTTCTCTAGAGACACAGCAAGAATGAGATACCCCTTTTCACAAGCTGCTGGAAAGGAGGAGGCCAGCAGAGGGTAGGCTGGGAGCAGGTCTGTGCCCAGGAAGACTCATCCAGCATAAAGTGGGATAGCTGAGAAGAGGGTCTGCTTTGCACCACATGTTCTTGGTGAGGAGTGTGCGCATGTGCTTGCATGCACGTGTGTTTGTGCTGCGTGTGTGCATCCCCAGTAGGCTGTACACTGACATGCATCTGCTCCCTTGTCTGGAACAAAGGCAGCTCCCCCTCCCCTTCGCTCCCAGCCGGCACAAGCCAGACATGAAACACCTGCCTCCTCAATGCAAGAGCATCCGATACCAATTTCTCCACCAGGAACGACCTGGTCATTCCACAGCCCCACGTGGGGACAGTGACCTGGCGCGGGACTTCAGGGAGGGTGTTGAACACAACTCCAGAAGGGGAACTGGGGGAAGGACCCGGAGCTACCCAGTCCCCACACAGGCCCCCCATCCAGGCTCTTTCATCCAGGGCAATGTGAGGGAACTGGTTGCTTGCAGAGGGTCAGACTGATGTGGCATGGTAGTGCAGCCAGAGCATGGGAACGGTGCTGGAGGATGGAACGGGACTGCTATCCACGGAAGCAGAGTGGATGGAAAGAGAAAAGCCAAAGCCCCTCTGCTTCAGGCCGGCCAGCGGCCTGAGCCGCAGGACCCCAGCCCCGCTGCTACAGCCTCAGGTCTCGGCCACGGTCAGCACTGCGGACAGCTCCGCGGCCGGCGGTCAGCACCGCGCACAGCTCCCGCTGCCGCCCCCCCCGCTGCACCCTAGCACCGGCAGCCCCCGGCCAGCTTCCCCCCTTCCCGGGGGATGCCCCCTCGAAGCCCCTAAGTAACCTTCCGCACCCCGTTCACCAAGCCATCTCCTTGCCCCATATCCTGCTCCTGGTCTTATACTGCCGTTGATGTATCCCACGCACATCCTGACGCCCCGCTGGACACACACCCCCGTTTCTGCAGGCTGTCCATCTCCGCTGCTCCCCTGCACGCACACAGCCTTCTGCCCTGCATCTGCAACTCCCCGGGCCCACTCATTGCCCACGCACACGCCTCCCTCCCAGGGTGTTCCACTGCCTGTGCACTGCCTGCATCCTCCTCGCACGCACAACTCTGCACCCCACTGCTCATCTGTCTCCATGCCTCACTGCATGGGTACACCGTGCCCCACTGCACGCACATCCATGCATCCCATTCCACAGACATCCAGTACCCTCTACACAGGCATCCCTGTACCCCATTATGCAAACACCCCCCTGCAGACGCATCTCAGCACCCATCGCACCCACCTCATGTCCCAGTGTAGATGTACCCTGTGCCCCATGGCACCCCACACCCAACTGGGGACAGCTCTGTACTCTGCAGCATATCTGCCCCAAAGCCCACCGCATAATGGCCCCATCCCTTGTGCCACACTCACCGTGTCCCGTCACAGGTGCACCCCACATCCCAGGATGCCATCCCCCCATAGCTGCGTCCTTATGCTCCATCTCACCCGCACCCTGCCCCACTGCATGCAAACCTCACATCCCATTGCTCATGTAGCTCATCCCAAGCTACACAGGTACCCACTCCAAGCTCACCCCCTGTGCCGCACCACATGGACCCCCGCAGCCCACACCTGCAGCCCTTCTCCCCACCGCATCTCACCCACTCCCTGCCCCGCAGCAGGCACACTCCGCATCCCATTGTTCGTGTACTTCACACCCATCCCAAGTTCATCCCTCTGCCCCACGGCTCCTCACGGAGCCCTGTGACTCACCTCCAGCCTTCCTGCCCACCGCGCACACTCCCGCGCTCCATTCTCACCTGGCCCACCCCACTGTGTGCACACCCCACATCCCATTGCTCGTGTACCTCACGCCCACCCTACACGTTCATCCCGCTGCCCCCGGCACGCTGTCCTGTGCTCCTCCGCACGGACCCCCGCACCGCGTGCCTGCAGCCCCCCTGCCCACCGCACACACCCCCGTGCTCCAATCCCACCCGCCCCGCTGCGCGCACCCCCCACACCCCGAGGCTCCCGTACCTCACACCCATCCCAAGCTCGTCATCCCTTGCGTCCCGCCGCACGAACCACCGCTCTCCGCTCCACCACCTCTCCCACCCACCGCACACACCTCCTCCGCGGTACCGCCTCGCCCCCGCCGCGCCGGCACCCTCGACGTGCGCTCCCGCACGCCGTCCCGCGCTCGCCCCGCCGCCCCACGCCCGCGCCCCCCGCCCCGGTCTCCCGGCGGCGCTCACCGGCGGCGGGCGGCGGCAGGAGCAGGAGCGGCAGGAGCAGCAGCGGCAGCGGCAGCGGGAGGCGCTGCCCGCCGCTCCCGCCGCCCCGCCGGGCCATCGCCGCCGCCGCCGCCGCCGCCGCCGCGGCTGCCGTGGGGCGCGCGCCTCCGGCCGCCCCGCCGCGCACCGGCGGCCCTGACGTCATCCGCCCCGCCCACCGGGACAGCCTCCCTCGTCGCCATTGGCCTCCGGGCACGTCAATCACCGGCGGGCGCGCCACGCCCCGCCCGTTCCGAGAGACAATTCCTCCCCTCCGATCCCCTCGGGATGGACCCGGCGCTGACCGGGGCACTAGGGGACAGCGACACGAGCGGGAATGGAGATGGGAAGCTGCGGGAAAGGGGCACCGCGTGGAACCCGAGATATGGGCCGGGAACTGGGGCACAGGGCTGGGCACAGGGACATGGCGCTGTAACGGAGATAGGAGCCGGGAACGGGGGCACAGGGCAGAGACACCGTCTGGAGCAGGGACACGGGCTGAGACCAGGAACAAGGCGCTGAGGGCAGGAACATGGTGCTGTAACTGAGATACGGGCCGGTAATGGGGTCACAGGGCTGGGGGCAGGGACATGTCTCTGGAACTGAGACATGGCCAGGAAGGGGTCACAGGGCTTGGGACAGGGACATGGTGCTGTGACAAGGATATAGGCCGGGAACAGAGATATGGGGCTGAGGGACAGGAACATGGGGCTGCAAACAGAAACATAGGTTAGGGGAGAGGGACAGAAACAATGACTGAGGACAGTGATGTGGGTCTAGGGGATAGGGATACGGGTCTGGGGACAGGAATATGTCCTGGGCACAGAAATATGTCCTGGGTACAAAAATATATAATGGAGAGGGACATGGAGTTGCTGGCATGCCCTGGAATTAAGGAAACGGATGGAAGGCAGCGAGGGCTACCTATGGAGCTGGAGGTGGTGGGGCTATCTACCCCACAGAGGGCTGTGTAGGGGGGTCAGGTGGTTTTCTATCAGTGGTTACCACCTTCTAAAAGCAAATTGTAGCATGTATCTTAGAGAGGAGGTGTCCCACAGAGGGGGTCTGGGCACCAGACTCAGGGATGCAGGATCCTCAGACTGCAGGGATGAGGCCATCTTGACTGGAAACAATCTCATCATGCTTTCCCAAAGTCCCCCAACATCATCCCCAGACTCTCCTGACATCACCATCCTCCTTGGCCATAATGGAGAAAGCAGGTTACTACTCATGGGCATGCTCCTCTCCCATCCTATGCTCCACACAGGGCACCCTGGGAGCTGAAGCAGGAGCAGCCACCCCACCATGTCCCTAGCCTGACTGCCCAGCAACCCTCCCCAGAGCACAGACCCCCATGCAGGCATGGCTGGAGGTTCCCTCCCCAATGCAGACCTCACCAGCACAGCTCCGGGGCCAGTGGCCTCTGACACAGGGAGGTAAAAGGACAGTTGTCCCTCAATGAGAAAGCTGGTCATGCTCTCCTTGGGAAATGGACTGGGGAACTTGTCTCCCTGCCAGATACTCTCCAAAAGCTCCAGGATCCCATCAGAACCCCATGGGACTAACATGAACTCTGTGTGGGTTCCCATGGGAGCTTGGTGGGTCCCTCGTGGGGAGCCAACAACCACCTTGTGGGGAGGAAGGAGCACAGAGCTGGGGTGGGAGTGGGTTCACCAAGGCCAAGCAGGTGTGAGGAAGGGCAAGGTGGGATTGGGAACTGGCATATCCACAACCTTCCAGGAGCTGACCTTCAACTCCACAGCCCTCAGATATCTGAGACTGTCCCATGGCCCCATACACTCCGCTGGAGTGTGGGGTGCCCCATGGCCACACAGCCGGGGCCACGGAAAAACAGGTGTGCCTCTGGCAGGTCTCACAGGGGGGTTTCACTGCTCTCGAGGCGGGCAGAGGGAAACAATGCCCGTACTCCTGCCCGTGCCCCGGCGGGGTCCTGACCCAATAATTCTCCTGTGCCTGTCCTGCCCCGGCCCTATCACACTATTCCCTGTGCCTGCCCGGTCCTGCCCCAGTTCCACCGCTTCCCCTACCCATCCCGTCCTGTTTCCATCTCATCCCACCATTTCCCTCCGCCCGTTCCCGTCCCGGTCTTACCACTTCGCTTTGCCCTTTCCCGAATGGGTCCCACCTCTTCTCCCGCCTGTTCCCGTTCCCGTCCCGTTCCCATCCCAGTCCTACTGCTTCCTTCTCTCTCTCCCGTTCCCATCCCAGCCGCACTGCTTCCCTCTCCCTCTACCGTTCCCGTCCCGTTCCCATCCCAGTCCCACCGCTTCTTTCTCCCTCTCCCGTTCCCTTTCCTGTTCCTGATCCCATCCCAGTCCCACCGCTCCTCTCTCCCTCTCCCGTTCCCGTTCCTGTTCCCAATCCCGGTCACACCCGTCCCCGCTCGTTCCCGGTTCCCGTCCCGCTGCCGGCCGTACGTTTTTACCCTCCAGCCGCCAGGGGGCGGTGGCGCCCCACATGGCTGTACCGCCGTCGGCGCTCTGTCCCGCGCTGTTCCCGGGCCGCTGATTGGTGAGCGGCGGCAGCAGCGCGCGGTGACGTCAGTGGCGGTGGCCGCGCCATCCCCGCCAGTGGCGGGAGCGGCGGCCCGGCCGCGTGCTGCCGCCTGTGCCCAGTGCCGCGGCCATGGAGTTCCCGGCCGCGCTCTTCCCCTCCTACTTCTGCGCCGGCCCGCCGCGGGAAGAGGGCGGCCCCGCACCGGCCGCCGGCTGGGGCGAGCACGGGCAGGTGCTGGAGGGTGGCCCCGGCCGCCGCCAGGTGAGCCCCTGCCGGGGGTCCCGGCGGGCCGAGGGAACGGGCAGGACGCTCATGGGCCGCTCTGACTCTCCTCCTTCGCTCCCCGCAGGTGCAGCCGGCGTTCGTGCCCCGCCGCGGCGCGACGGGCGAAAGGTGGGAAGCCGCCGACTCTGCGGCCGTGCCGGTGCTGCTGCCCAGAGCGGGTGAGAGCCGCGGGAGCAGGAGGGAGCTCGCTGAACGGGGGCTGGGGGAAACATGCCTTCCACCTCTATCGCTGCCGCTGCCCCGCAGTGCTGAGCGGTGACCCTGTGCTCGTGTGATGCCAAGCCACCTCTGCCTTCTCCCCACAGGCTGCTGGATCCCCTCGCCTGCACCTCAGGACATCCTGTACCGCAGCAGCCTGTGCAGGAAGCTCCGGATAGGCAAGTCTGGAGCCACTCTGGACTTTGCCAGGCAGGTGGGATTTGAGGCATTGCATCCTGGCAAGGAGCTATTTGGCAAGGACCTTTGCATGCACTGACCTTTCTCCTTCTGCCCACACAGCTGGGCCATTTCTTTGTGGATCACCCAGAAGATGCTTTTGGCTCCCTGGGGCGTCTGCTGCACAAGAACTTCTATCTGGGAAACGCCAAGCTGAAGGTCACTGTCTGTCCAGGAGTAACAGTGCTGCTCCCCTCCTTTCCCCTGCCAATCTCAATCTCTGCTCCCTACTCCTGTAGAGACCA